AAGGAAGGAAGGAATATGCAATTAAATGGGTATATACAAGGGTTGAAATGTGAAAAGCAAAAGGCCGGTCAGGGCCCCACAGGGCTTTGGCACGGTTACAAGGCGCAAGAAAGAAGCTTATTTAATAAACACAATTTTGACTTGCTCTGTTCTGAAGGCATATGAAGTGGGAAGGAGTCCCCTCCTTCACTCTGCAGTTAATGCACAAGAGTTTGGAAGAGGAATGCAGCCTATATCCATCTTTCAGAGGACTCAGTTTGCCATGATTGATGTCAGCTGCTGTGTGGTAGCACAGCCAAGCACTCGAATAAAAGAAATGGAATCTTAATTTGTAGACTCCACAGTAATGCCAAGAATGACAAACAGTGGTGTCATAAAACAAATCTTACTAGCCTGCTTAGAATATTAGTTATTGCCATCCCATTGAGAAGTAATAGTGCCAAGTTCTTGGAAAAGTTGCACAAAGAAATATTTCTGGAATTAAATTAATGTGTCTCTCACCACCATAAATGGGACAGGTACTAAGCCACTTCTCTGTTAAATGGAACTGTTCTGTAAACCTCTGCTTAGGAATTCACTTAAAGTGACCCAATTTGAGTTAATCAGTTAATCTTGTTTTCCCACATTCCACTAGTAGCTGGGATTTTTTTCCTCTCTTGAGCAAAGGTCTCTTAGCAGTTCCTTAGCAACATTCCTTTGAGGGGCACAGTGTCACCATTTCAGGGTAACAGCACCTGTATTTCCTTTCTGTGATCCCTCCCAAGAGCACCCATTTAAAGGTTCCCACCTCCCAGCCCTTCTCTCTCCTGGGTAGAGACCTGCATCTCTGTCCTGTCTGGATTTATTTATTTTTGTAGACTGCACAGCTCTGATGAACACACCGAGCTCCCAAGCAAGCCAGCATGCCTAAAAGGCCAGTGCTTGTTCTTGGCATTCTCTGAGGACTGTGAACACTGTATTGCCAGAGGTGATCTGTTACCACACAGCTTCTTCTCAGCAAGCCCACTTGCTCTTTTAGTAAAAACCTTAGCAAAAGCATATAATAATCTAAACTCGTGTTAAAGCCTACCAAAGGTCATCCCCATGTCTGTCTGGGACTCTTGTTAGGTATCAGTCCTTCAAAGCCCACCACTGGGTTTTCCGCACAGTTAAAGTTCTGATCTGGTCTGTAGATCAGGAACCAAAATAAAGACCCTGGGTCAGTGCAGGCTCAGTCCATTTTATCCTAAAGAAGGGATGTGGCAGTATAACCATGTTATTGGTTAAGTATTTAACCTGGACTTACTGGTTAATGTTCACGGTTACACAAAGACTCCTGCCCTGTTCCTGGGGAGCCTCCCTGCTACTCTGCGCTGCTGCCTATGTATCAGGGGCAGCAGTCAGCATGGTGTGGAGTCCAGGGCCACATCCCAGAGTCCACATGTTGCTGCTGCTTTGAAATGCTGTGTGCAGCCTGGGACCAGATGGGAACTCCCAGCTGGCCCAGGTTGCACTCTGCATTTCAAAGCGGCAGCACTGTGTGGACTAGGGATGTTAAATCTCAGTTAATTGAGTAGTCAAGTAGCCTCATGAATTTTTATCGGTTAGTTGACTATTCTATAGTCCCTAGGGGTGGGGCCAGCAGCCAGTGCACTGCTTCACTCCTCATGCCACTCCTGCCAGGCAAGAGATAGTCTGTGAGGGGAGTCAGTTTAAAAACCAGTTCCCCTTGCAGACAGGCTGCCTGTTGCCCAGTGCTGCTGCCTCTGATAAAGAAGCAGCAGTGCGGGTGGCAGCATCCTGTCTAGGGGAACACCTGAGCTCCCAGAATCAGCATGAGCCGGAACTGAGCTTGGCTGCCTGCCCATGTGGCTCCTAATACACTTTAAATGTAAAGTTGCAGCAGGGTAGGTTCTGGACTCAGCATGAGCCAGGAGTGAGCCAGGCTGCTGGCCAGCCTACACTAAAAATTACTGGTGGGGCAGAGGGGGAAATACGTGTAGTCTATAGCATTAACCTATCCGCTCTTGCTAATTGATTAATCAACTACACTATTACATCCCTAGCTTGGACCCTGGAGTCAGCCGGGAACTTCCCCACTGATCCCAGGCTCCATGCAGCACTGCTTCTTTGAAACACCCTGGGGAGCATGGAGCAGTGGGGGACTGCTTGAGTCCTCTGCTGGCCCCTGTGCTCCCACAACACTTTTTGCATTTGAAATGTAGCAACAGCCCTGGGGCTATTGCTACACTTCAAAGGTGGAAGCACCCTTCTCAACTAATAGAATAGTGGATGTAACTTGCATTGACTTCGATTAGCCAATGAATCGAAATTTAACATCCATAACTGACTACTGAGATTTTCAGCAGTTACATGCAGGGTGGCAGGCAGCTCCTCCTGGCCCCTTCACTGCTGCCTCTGCATCACAGGCAGCAGCGTGGGTGGGGTGGGCGCAGGGTAAAATCCAGCTCCCCATGCATACCGGGAGCCTGCATGTAACTGAAGATTAACCAATGAGCTCAGGCTTATTGGTTAACTGTGTACACAGTTAACTTCACATCCCTATTTATAACCTCTGTGCAATCATCCCCACCATTCCCTGCATTGTTTTCAGTTTCTGAAGGAGCTGTGATAATCCTGACCACAGGGAAAGTCTGCAGTCCTTTGTCTACAAAGATATGTAAGCCATGCATATGTTTGATGCAATATGGTCTCCCAAAGATAGTGACTCGGGCCAAGTCGACACTGGTACTTTATAGCACGCACTGTGTGGCTCAGGTATGAAAAACACCTAATTTCTCCCCCCCCCCTTTTCCTTCCCCCTCCATGTCTATTTCTGAGTAGCACAGAACTTTTCAAAGGCTTCAGGAGTAGTTAGGTAGCCCTTGTGACTCTGTAAATGTTCCATATTGGTGCTGCAATATTTACACACAGCTAACATCCTTGTTGCAAGATTACAACATTGGTGGAATTCTGACTCTGCATTTAAAAAACTACTGGGACTCCATTGTGTTAGTCAGTATACAGTTATGGTCCCTGTCCCAAAGAGCTTGCAATCTAACTTTGGCTCTTGTTCAAAAAATGATAGAGTGAGGGAAGAGGCACAATGAAACAGCTGATTGTTTTACCTTAACCTGACTTTAACTCTGCTTTCTAAAGTGCTACTGTAGTGAGAGAATTAACAATGTCTTGATTACGAGTATCTTGATTAAATGTAATTTTCCACACAACAGTCTCATTTGAGGAAACAATATCCATTTGTTCCACAGGTCTCCAACTGTCTCCCTTAGTTGCAGTGCTCTTCTGTCTCAATGAGAAATGTTTTCAGCAGTTAGCTTTTGGCATTCCTAGAAGTGCCATCCTAGCAGCACTAACTTACCTCTTTATGGCTGTAAGGGGTGGAGGTGGAGTCTCTAACAAATATTTAAGTATCAAACAAGTAACTGCAATGATGTTCCTACATTTTACTACAGCTTAGAACAGGACAAGAGAACACTATATGCTTGTCCTATTGGAGTTTGGGAGGTGGGCTGGTGTAAGCATGCCTACATCTAAAGGACCTCCTCCCCTCCCCCCAGCCTATGGGGAGGACCCACAGAAACCAAAATACCAAATGTTTACAGGGGACAAATTAAGGGGAGGGAAAAGGGGCAGGTGTGGAGGTTGAAGGGCTACAACAAGGGAACTGGACGGGGACATGAAGCAGAGAATCCTGGACAGCACCCACTGTCCCTCAGAGGGTTTGAGGGCCAGTGGATGCCACCAGTGGAACTCTGCCTGGATGTGCGAACCAATACAGGAACAGAAATAGGCCCCACAGTCGCAGGCCCCTCCTTCAGCCAGCCTCTTTTCCCTGGTCTTCTAAATGGTCATACCCAGGAGCATGTTAACAAGGAGGTCCCATGACTCTGTGGGGCCATGATGGTGTGTGCATGAATTGATAGGTGAGGGGAGAAGTGCAGCCAGAACCTAACCAGAGGTTCTGGAGGAGCCAAAAGAGTAAGCTGGCACAATCGAGATAGACGTGCACCAGGGTCTCCCTCCTGCCACAGAAGGGGCAAGTGTTGGGAACAGGGGTGAACCGTGCCGAATACATGCCTGTGCTCAAAGCACCATGGAGGATTCTTCAGCTAATGTCTCCAGCAGGCTGCAGAACCAAGGTGGAGTAAGGACTGGCCCACTGGAGCCTATATGCTTGGGATTGTCAGCCATTTTCTTACACATAATTCCCACTTTGAATAGTTAGGCTCACTACACATACCTGTTGGGTGAAGTTGAGATCTTGTGTCATGAAGATGCCTCCGAAACAAACCTCAGTAACCACTCAACTTCAGAAAAATATGGCCCTTAGCATAGGGAATTGCTCTCTAGTGAGGCAATTTGTGGCCTATGCCTTGGAAAATGGCATAGTCTCTGCAGAAAAACAAAATCCCACTGTTGGCACAATTGCTTGGCTTCCATCAGAGGAGAAGCACAAGATTAATGAAGCATAGAAACTGAAATTACATCCATCTGGGAGGGTGTTCATTCAAGGTACAGTAAAGCCATTATCCATGCAACTTTGTGCATATCAAATTCATGCAACTTTGAGAATCCTGAACAGGGAATGTAAAATAAGGTTTTGGGAAGACAAATATGTTCTTTCCATGTCTTCAGTTAATGCACCAAACCATCATGTATACAACAATAGGAACCCAAATCTTCTAAAGATCTGTTGCCCTAAGTTTTACTCCTGCAGCATTAGAGATGAGCATGTGAACTATTTGATTCCATGAATCCCATCTGGGATGTAGAATGCTTTTTTTTTTTTTTTTTTTTTTTAAATAGAGCTAGACTCAAAACAGCCAAAAATGAGGCAGAACAATAGCATTGTAGTATATAGGCGACTACAGTTCCTAGCTCACAGGCTTCTTTGTTGTTGACTCTTTGCTCACAGAATTGTTAACAGGTGCAGTTCTCAATCTCTGTCTACCTGCTCTGTCTCTAACTGCTGTCTCTAACTGCTAGTGTTAGTAGAACAGAGTCAAGATGCCGAACTGGGGAGGAGGTAACAAATGTGGTGCCTGTGGACGAATAGTCTACCATGCTGAGGAGGTTCAATGTGATGGGAGGAGCTTCCACAGATGCTGCTTTCTCTGCAGTAAGAATTCCTCATATGTTGCTTTTTGTGTAATGCAAACTCTCTTCAAAAAAGCATTCGTGGCTCTATTGCATGTCACACCTTACAATGGAAGAGCAAGGTGCTCTTCTACAAACTTCTCCCAAGGAGTTGCATAATAGAAACTCTGAACTGGCATTTGGGAAGCTGAATGGCAGTGCAAGCTGCCAGATTGCAGCCTAGTTTTGGGGTGCTCTAGGAATGCTATGAATGCTGTCAGACTTGGGTTAACTTGTCACACTTTCCCTTGTGCTTCCTGAGCATTTCTGTTAGTAGAGGGAGAGCTCATTCAGAACCACTGAGGAAAATTGTCCCCCTCTGGCAGATACTGGCATGGGACAGTTCCTAAAGAGACTTGTTACATGGAGCCTAGGTCTCCTTTGCAACTGTAAGTCTGTAAAAGGCAATGAGCATGTTCAAACTTAAACTTGTATTCTGTTCAAACAGGTAAATGGTAAATCTGTAAAAGGCAATGAGCATGTTCAGGAGTCAAACTTAAACTTGTATTCTGTTCAAACAGGTAAATGCACAGCAAGAAGGCTGGATTTATTTATTTATTTATTTATTTTAATTGGGGGGGGGGGAGATGCCGCTATGCAGAACCAAGCTTCTGCCCAGAATCTGTTGGAAAGTAGAATGAGGCCTAAAGGAATACTCAAAGGACTTCTCCTTTGAAAGGCTCTTTAACCCAGGGCCATGTAGATTGTGTAGCATATTAAAACATCAGTAGTCTGTCTGACTTTCTCACTAATACATGTAGCAGAGCTAAAATCCTTGGCCTAGGAGGCTGTGGAATGCAGAACCAAGCTTCTGCCCAGAATCTGTTGGAAAGTAGAATGAGGCCTAAAGGAATACTCAAAGGACTTCTCCTTTGAAAGGCTCTTTAACCCAGGGCCATGTAGATTGTGTAGCATATTAAAACATCAGTAGTCTGTCTGACTTTCTCACTAATACATGTAGCAGAGCTAAAATCCTTGGCCTAGGAGGCTGTGGATTATTTCAGATGAATAGTGTTCCAAGTTATTCAGGCATCAAAACTAACTTTTTTTTTCTCCAGATGTAAAGATTGTTTAGTTGAGGGGGTGGGGAGGAGGTTGTCATCTTAAACTCTCAAGCTGCCAGTCTAACACAATCAAAGTACTTATTGCAGATATGCAGTGTTACTACCCAGCTTTCTGGCCTTGACTTTCTGGGGTCAGAATTAGAGTTCAGATGTGGTTTATAGGAAACTACAGTTACAAACTGGAAGATTTCCAAATTAGCTTGCCACTAATAGTTGCAACATCCCATCTGTGTGTGATGGGATAGAGGTGTGTTTATGTTCCTTTTCCTGGTACTCTCCAGCAGTTACAGCCAGTTATTTGGCTGTGGCTCAATTGGCTTAAATTCAGTTTTTACAGAAGTTTCTTCTATTAAAAACTTGGAACGTGGCTGGTTTAGAATTCACTCTTGAGTGAAGCCAAGGTAATGTTGAGTTTTTTGAGCTTAAACATAAAGGCTTGGTGTATTTAAAACTGATTAATTACTTTTAATGATTATAAAATGCCATGTATCAACTGTCTACTGACTGAATCAATGCGATAAAGGTTTCTGTGAACTTTGAAGCTCTTGCAGTTTTTTCAAACTTAGGCTTTGTTTACGCTTAAAAGGCAGTGGCAGTACTTTAAACCACATGCTCTCCCAGCACTCTATGTAAACCACCTCCACGAGGGATGTAGCTAACAGCGCTGGGAGTGCAGCTCTCAGCATTGAAGTCTGGCTCACACTGGCACTTTGTAGCATTGTAACTTGCTGCTCTTGGGGGGGGGGGGGCACTTGTTTTCACATCCCTGAGCCAGACCGTTACAGCGCTGTCCAGTGCCAGTGTGGATTTAGCCTCTGTCTTAGAAAACTGGATTGTAAGTTGGACTGTCAGTCCAACCCATACAGACATCAAAATGCTATGACCGAACAAAGAGCATTTGTCTTTTAACTAAGTGTAGTGTTTAGGAAAGGGAAGCAGAAATAGCTTCATTCCTTACTGATGTAACCTTGGACAAGTCTCTTAATTTTTGTCCCCAGATGTATCTGCATAATACATCTAACATTTTTCTTGCCTGGTAAAATGTTACTGTTTTTCCAGCAGAAATGAAGGCTAGGATGAAGTTCTGCATTCTTCAGAAAAGTAGGCTCCACCACTTGCAACAGAAAGATACCCAATAATTACATCATCAGCTACTGAAAGCAATCTGGTTCCTGGTTTTACAGTTCTAGCGTGGCATTTATAAAGAGTCAACAGAACCCCAGTATTACTAGTAGCATTACAAAAACATTAATCCACCTTGGATAAATGGGCAACCAGAAGAAGCTGTGAGGAAGCAGATTGTCCATGTTAACAGAGGGCTAGGAACTGTCAGACAATTAAATGGTTCTGCGCTGATACAGATGCTTGTTTTCATGTAACTTGAAGGAAGAAAGGAAACTGCTGACTTTAGTATCTGGTTTTTTTTATAGCCTCATTAATCAAACTACAGCGAGTTTCCATTCTTTAAATGTCAGCACCATGAGGGTGGGAGAGAATAGAGCCTCTTTATGAAGCTACACATAATTCACCAATTCAAAAGAGAAGCTGCCTCCCTCTAATTTTCAGCAATTCCACAGTTCATTAGAAAGAACTGTGGCCACGGAAACTCAGGACATCTGGCATTTGACATTTCTTGGTTTACTGCATGTGCTAGGGCTGAAAATGATCCCTTCAAACTTTCCTCCCCCCAGTGGTTTGTCGGAAAAACTTAGACAGCACAACTGTAGCAATTCATGACGATGAGGTTTACTGCAAGTCCTGCTATGGAAAAAAATATGGTCCTAAAGGCTATGGCTATGGCCAAGGAGCAGGCACGCTCAACATGGACAGAGGCGAGAGACTGGGCATTAAGCATGACAAGTAAGTTCTGCTCTTCACTATCTGTAACTGCAAGATGCACAGGTGGTATGTGATCTTCATGTTATGCTAAAGATTCTTCATGCAGGATGTAAAAGGCCAAATGCATTTGTAGCTATGTGTTTGCTCCAAACACCCATCAAAATGCCAGTGTATTCTAGAACAGAATATTGATGTAGAGGCACTGTGCAGATCAAAGATGCACAGAACCCATGATGCCTGTTTTGCTGTCGTCCTCATGCAGCTTCCACTGATCTCCATGGCAGTTACCTGTGGGCAAGGGCTTTAGGATCAAGTTTTTAATCTCTGGATTATTAAAAATCCTGTTGTGCTGTTACTGGCTCTATGCAAGCGTAAAGAATACTAAACATGGCTTGTGTAGTATTCAAATCCTACTTACTAGCTAATAGGCTCATACACTAAGCTTTGACAAGGTTGTGTTCTAGTTATGATTTAAAATAAAGGAGGATTTGCAGTTGTATAGAGATTTAATGTCTATATGGAAAACTTAATTCTGCTCTGTCTAAATTGAAGTGCCTCACTGCATTTCAGTCCGTCAGGTATAGCAACCAGTAGTAAATGTGATAGAATGTTAGAACCTGCTCAGAGTAGGAGTACCTGCTCTGTCTAAATTGAACTGCCTCACTGCATTTCAGTCCATCAGGTATACCAACCAGTAGTAAATGTGATAGAATTGGTTCTTTAAAGCAGGCCAGGTAAAAGTACTTAAAGATGTTAGAACCTGCTCAGAGTAGGAGTTTAGTATCCAAACAGCAAATACATAATTAGTATACGCTTCTGATGATGTCATGAAATTCTTACCTCGGACATCCACTTCCACTAAAGTTCAACTGTTAACAGCTCAGTCTTTCTAAAATTCCAGCTTCTAGATCTTAAGAGTTGAGATGTAAATTTTCCAGAGGTTGTTCAGTGAGTCTAAAATTAAGTTTAGAGATAAACTGGCATACTGATGCAGGCAGTTGTTCATCAAATCAATGTCCAGTATTAGACACCACTTTGTGGTCTTGATATCTTCTGGATAACTGGGAAGCACTATGATATGGAGGAAACTTAACATCATGCGGCCATTAACTAAATACAAGGGTCAGGGAGGCAAATGCCAATTAGGATGCAAAATTCCCTTTAAAATAGCAGCTTCTCAGCATGGAAAATACCATTGACCAAACCACTTCAGCCTCTCTTAAATCAAGATTAAATGTGAAGGTGGATTTTAAAGACAAATGTGTGAGGCTAGGTCTGCAGTCACTACAGATACAATACACAAGTCTAACCTAAGTGTGTGTATGTTCAGATATTCCTGCCTCCCTTCCCCCCCCCCCATTCTCTTCCTTTTTTGAACAATGGTCCCCCAAACTGGGGTTGTGCCACCAGGGAAGTCTGGAAGGACATTCGGGGGTGGGGAGGGAGTGCCACACAGCCTGGCTCTGCCCTCAGCTTGACCTAGCCCTTGGCTCCTAGCCCTGACTGCAGCCCCCAGTTCACTTTGCTCTTGCCTCCACCCCACTGCCGCTGCCCTAAAACCATGGTTGGGAGACAGAGGAGTGACATGAGGACTGCTGAGGATAAATAGGAGTACAAGACTGACTGTACATCTGACCTGTTTGTTCTAGCACACCATCTCCTCACCGACCTACAACAAGTCCAAATACTTCAAAATTTGCTCAGAAATTTGGAGGTGCAGAGAAATGCTCCAGATGTGGGGATTCTGTTTATGCTGCTGAGAAAGTAATAGGAGCTGGAAAGGTAAAGTAGGATTTTGATAAACGAATTGTGTGTCCCCTCCCTACTCCACCAAGCAAGGGCTGGCTGAAAACAAAACTGTTTTGAGCATATTTAGCCAAAAAGTCAAGCCAAATGCTATGGTGCAAAATTCTTAGAATAGCAGCTTCTCAACATGGAAAACACCATTAATCAAACTAGTTCAATGTCTTAAACCAAGATAAAGATGAAGGAGGGTTTAAAGGGAAATGCATGTGACTGGAGCTGCAGTCATAGATTCTGGCAAAAGTTCAATGTATTGTTTTAGGCAAATCTTAATATTTCTTTGCTAATTTGCATCTGAAACCATCTACAGTCTAAGATCTGGTCTCTATCCCTAATGTCACTCTATTATTATTTATTATTAGAGTGAGAAACAGAAAAGCCATAGGCTATGTCTATACTGGCAGCTTCTTGCGCAAGAACTCTTTTGCAGAAGAGTGCAAAAACTCTTCTAGAAGAGAGCATCTACACTGGCATGTGCTTTTGCGCAAGAGCATCCATGCCAGTGTAGACGCTCTCTTGCGCAAAAAAGCTCTGATGGCCATTTTAACCATAGGGCTTTCTTGTGCAAGAAATTCAAGAATTTCTTGCACAAGAACAGTTGCACAAAAGGGCTTATTCCTGAGCGGGAGCATCAGTTCTGGCGCACGAAGCCCTGATTTCATACATTAGAACGTCAGTTTACTTGTGCGAGAACACGCGGCCAGTGTAGACAGGCAGCAAGTTTTTGCGCAAGAGCAGTTGCTTTTGCAAGTCATAGAGTAGCATCCTTGTGTGCTTTACATATAAATATTCTGGTAGCTTTTCACTATTTACATTGCACAACACTATCTCATTGTGTCTAACGTACTTGGTAAATACCATAACTTATGTTCTGTTTCTCTTAGCCATGGCACAAAAACTGTTTTCGGTGTGCCAAGTGTGGGAAGAGTCTAGAATCTACAACCCTGACAGAGAAAGAAGGTGAAATTTACTGTAAAGGTAAGTAGAAACAGACCTGATATTCCTTACTGATGTTTTTCTGTTTGAAGAATAGTTCAGTGGTGCTCAATGCTCTGTTAATCTAGCATCCTTCCATAAGTACTGCATTGGAGTGGGCAGATGGCAGAGCAGTCCTGTACAATAGATCAGGAAGTCAAGTACCTTGAAGGCACCCTCGCATGTCCTTCTGAAAATGTTGCGCTTTTTTTTCTTTTTTTCAGGCTGCTATGCAAAGAACTTTGGCCCCAAAGGCTTTGGATATGGCCAGGGAGCAGGTGCTCTTGTCCATGCTCAGTGAAGGAGTTAAACAGAAGATTAGCATGATTCACTGAGATTCTTCCTCTGCAACAAGGCGCAGCTTAAGTGTTACTAATTACTGTGAAACTGACACTAGTGTGTTATAATATTGCTTAGATCAAGCTTTTACCAAATACTAAAGCATTACATGTTTCTCTTGTACACCACGTTTCCACTATATTAGCACTGTTGTCTATCTCAATAAAGCTTTGCATATTGTCTTTTTGGTTAGTCTATCTTTAAATGATCAGAACTGCTCACCCTCTGACACACCAGTGTAAAGAGCTTGAGACCAGTGCTGAATTAATGTACTTGGCCCTCACAGCCCAGCACCTGGAGCAGGTGATGATCAGTCTCAACTTAAAACACCATCTAGGCCATGTGAGGGCAAGAGAGGCTGAAACAGGTATGAATTGCCTTGTGTATGCCAATGGGGATGTTTAATTCAGGGACCTGCTGCACAGTGGCTCCCTTGGCAATACCTCAGCAGAGGACTGTGCCATGAGAAGGGGGGCAGTGGGCCCTACTCATTTGCCCAAACAGCTATGTTCCAGTTGTGTGGGTGAAGTACTGGGGAGGGAGGAGAGAGAGAACTATTGCTAGGGGCAGAGTTTGGGGGTATGTGTGAGTGTACCTCTGGCATTGGGTGTACCTTAATTTAGGGGAGGGGAGAGAACTATTGCTAGGGACAGAGTTTGGGGGTATGTATGAGTGTACCTCTGGCATTGGGTGTACCTTAATTTAGTCAGCCTCAGAGTACTTCTGCCTGCTGCCCACTCTAGAAATAGTAGGGGAAATCCTGTCCCCTACCTTGAAGTCTGTGTCAAACCTCCTAGTAACATCGGGGGGCAGGATTTTACTAGTAGAGCCTACACTAATAGGACTGAAGCATTCTTGGAGAACTAGTGATGCAGTAAAAGATGAAAAACCTGGAGACAGTCAGTATTTCTGCCACAGTTGTAAAGACAACAGTCTCCTGAAATAACTAAAAAGTGGAGACCATGTGATTTAATGAGCTGAAAGCATGTCTCTTTAGCTGGAGTGCCAGATGCTCTGTAGTTGTAGGGTAAGGGTAGGGAACTGCAGGAAAACTGGGAGTTGCATCCAGCCCCTGAGGCTCAGGGCTCCTCCCAGCATTGGGGAGCCTCATGCTGGCACTCCAGCCTCTCTCCCCACCCTTCCAACCTCCTGGTGAGTCTGGAGAACACAATCTACTAGCCAAGGCCCCACTAGGCTCTGGTGTGAGGAGGGAATGTGGGGAGTGTCTTTCCTTCTCAGTTGGAGTGAGGATTTGTTGTGGCTTTTTTTGCTTCACTTGCACATGGCCCCCGACTGACTTTTTTTTTTTCTTTTATCGTCTCTGTGATTCAGTGGCCCTAACCTGAAAGGTTCCCCTCCTGTGCTATACAGTGTTACATACTGAGACCCGCTACAGCTTGGGCACAGAAAAAAGGACATAATCCAGACACTATAATACAGAGGTTCTCATACTTCATTGCACTATGACCCTTTTTTTATGACAAAGTACCATGTGACCCCAGCAAGGGTGACTGAAGTCTGAACCCAAGTGTTGTGGGGGAGGATGGGTGGTTAAAAAATCAGACTTACAGCCCCAGGAAGTGAGGGCAAGATCAGCACCAGGTGGGGAGATGACAACCTGAATCCTGCCACCTAGCACTGAAGCCCGAGCCACTGCCCAGAACTTCATCTTAATGAAGAGGAAGATAAACTCAGACTTAGCATCTCCCTTTCTATTGATTTACAAGTTCCAAATTGATGCCCAGGATTAGACTGGCATGGAGCCCTGATTAGGGATGTTAAATTTTCTATTAACTGGCTAATTGAATAGCCAATGCCATTTGCATTAACTATTTGATTAGTCAATAAGCCTGCCTCTGCCAGGGCTGTTGCTACACTGTGAAAGTGCTGTGGGGAGCATGAGGTCAGTGGGGAGCTCAAGTAGTTCCCTGCTAGCCCTGTGGCATTTCAAAGCAGCAGTGCCACATGCAACTCAGGGCCACCTGGGAGTATAGTCCCGGGCTGCACGTGGCATTTCAAAGTAGCAGCGCCACGTGAAGCCCAGGGTCTGTCTCCAGGCTCCAAGTGGTGCTGCCACTTTGAAGCCACCCTTTCTTTCCCCCAACCGTCTCTGCCTCTCTGATAAAGGCGGGGGGCGGGGGGGGGGGAAGGAGTGACTAGTAGAGCAGTGTGTCGACTATCGAATAAGCATTTGCTTATTGGATAGTTGACCACATCCCTACCCCTGAAGCCCAAGTAAAGTGACTCCAAACCCTTAACACCTGAGGCAGACAGGGTATTCTCTTCTGAACGTTGTCTCTCCTTTTCTGCGGGGGAGGAGACATCTCTTGGCAACTTGTGAGCACCTGAGCAGGCTAAAGGGAAAGATACTTGCTTGGGATCCTGTTTTGGTAGTGACAAAAGGGAAAATAGAATGTTTGTTTGAAGTAAAATGTTTGATAGTCTAGGTGAAGATTCATTTTTCACTAACCTCTTAGAATCTTCTGGACCTTTGGGAAGGTTCTGTGAGATTTAAGAAACTTCTGGAAGAGTTTAACAAATGAGATGAGAGTGCCATTTGATCAGGAGAAGCAAGTGTCAAACAAGAGCTTAGTGTAGATAATAGAAATCCCAATCTCTGCACACATATCTAACCTATTCTTAGCAGTCGTTTTCTTTTAAGTTTCGAGGACAATATTTATGCTAGTTAAAAGAAAAAGCCTCTTAGAGGTAGAGAATGTAAAGGGGTGGATGAGACTGAGCGTTATCCCAGACAGCTCTTTTCTCCAATAGCTGGGACATGGCTATCTTGATCACACCAAGGTATCAGCATAAATAGAATAGTGCAAACTGCTTACTATTACCAAATAAGTAGTTCCTTAAGATGTCAGTAGAGCTATTTCAGCACTGTGTGGGGTTTGTGGGAGGAAGGTGAGACTTACCTCTCATCTTTCGTTATTCCTGCAGACGAAATCTCCAATTACTAGTAAGAACTAACATTTTAGAGTTTAGAAAACCTGTTGCTAGAAGCCTCCTAAATTATGTCCTAGGGAACACTGCAGTCGTAGTCTAATGCTTAAAAAGCAGAAAATGGGTTGGAAACACAGTCTAGACTTGAACTAAGTGGGAAAAGTGAACTTTTCAAAGAACCTCTCCTTTTTTGGTTTTGAGGAAATTAATGTATATAGTCCCAGAAATCCTGCAGCTCTATCAACTGTTAAACTCAAGGCTTGGGCTACAGCTTCTTCCCTATTCTACACAACTAGGCTACACTTACACTGTAGACAGCCCTCACTAACAAGTAATAATGATGGAATGTCTTAGTACATAGAGAAGATAAACAAGGCACATTATGCCTGTATTATTTGTGTAGGCAAAAATGCTCTGTGCTGCTGCCACCAAAACCTTAACTTTCATTAGTGTTGCTACAACTAATGACCATTGATGTTTCCATTCAGCCACGCTACCATTGTCTCTCACTCTAATGTCTTACGTTACCAAGCTGAAGTCCAACCCTTTCCTTCTTATAGGTATATAGGTAGTCAGTCCAGAAAGGCCCTTGTAGGTTTTTCTAACTTACTTTCAAATGAAATGAAGTGCTTGCTCGCTTTCTAAACATGGTATAGAAAGAAAGGATAAAATATAGATGGCTTATTTTTAGTTGACAATAGGTGATGCTAGCAATCCCAATTATTTTGTAGTGACTCTGACTGCTCCTGCTATGTGAAAGCACTCTGTTATTGAAGTCATGTCTCCAAATTCACAGGCCACAAGTACGGCCATTCTTGCGCAAGAACCCACAGATCATCCACACTGCCCACCTGCTCTTGCACAAGAAAATTTACAGTAAAGCATGGGAAGAGAGGGCTTCTTGCGCAAGAGCTACACCTTTTTCTCACAAGTGTGAGCTCTTGCGCAAGAGGGCAGTGTGAACATGCAGCAGGGATTTCTTCTGCAAGAAAGCCCTATGGCTAAAATGGCCATCAGAGCTTTCTTGTGCAAGACAGCATCCACACTGCCATGGATGTGCTTGCACAAAAGCACGTGGTGGTGTGGACATGTTCTTGTGCAAGAGTTCTTGCACAAGAACCCATCAGTGTAGACATAGCCAGAGTGTATGTGTTTCACAGCCCCAAGAGAAAGTTACAACACAGTGAAGTGGAAGCATAGACAAGCCAGAAGTGCTAGATTTATGCTGGGCCTTCCAGAGAAAGTTACAACACAGTGAACTGGAAGCATAGACAAGTCCTAAGTGCTAGATTTATGCTGGGCCTTCCAAGAAGCTTTGTACACCAATTCAAACCCCACACACCAGCCCCATGAAAAGCTGGATGCCAGGTCAGCTTTTCAGACCAAAGTTTATTTAATTTCTGGGGATGAAGACAGCAGAGAGCACTCATGATTTGGGTTTTAGTAAGGAGGCTTGCAAATTCTCTGACTAGTTTTTTTTTTTTTTTTTTTTTGTGACAGTGCTATAGTTCAAAAATAAAATGTCACCAAGTTGCAGACAACCATAGTTAGTCAAGATTGTTCAACATGAAGGCTAGACAATACCAGCATCTGCTCGCTGGTTCTTGATTGGGATTTGGCTCCTACACTGAGTGGAGGCATATTTCTTGAGACAGTTCCACTGTGCCCTCATCTGACCATTAAGTAAAATGCAAGGTACACCTCTAAATCAACCTCTGCCCCCACAAGGAGCAAACTGTGCACAGTTCTGTAGCCCACCCTTGCCACAAGTAAACCTGAGTCCTGGGATGATCATTTTTCTTTAACACACTTCTGATCCTGGCAGCACAATTTCACTTGAAAATTCCTAGAATGGGCTGAGCAGCCATTTAAGTTAGTTGGCTTAAGATGCACAGTGGTCATGGCCTATGTTTTCCCTAGTTTTCGGAAATAACTTATTCACACCCCCACACTCCAGATGTCTGTCAAATAGAAGCATAAGGTGGATTCATTATTTGATTAGATTTTCTTTTCTCTAAGGCAGGCTTCATTTTTAATCTTTTTTTTTTTTTTTTTTTTCACTGGTTTGTTCCTCTCTGGACAAACTATTTTAGGGTACGTCTACAGTGCACCATTATTTCAGGATACCTGAGTATCCTGAAATAGCTATCCCATGGCTTAACAAGGAGATCTTGCATGATCTCAAAATCAAAAAGGAGTCATATAAAAAATGGAAACTAGGACAAATAACAAAGGATG